AGACATTTCGTTTAGGAGTTCAGACATGTCGTTTCCTATACACCAGGATCTCGTTCACCTTAAACCATTTCTCCTTTACGGTCCTGTTTCAGTCTTCACCTAAAAATGTTTTCCAGTTTCTCAATACTGTGCTCCACCCTCACATGTAGAAAGCTGTAGTAGCTGTATATAGATCTATGCTCCTAATTGTATATCTCATTCAACATTATTTTTAATCATAATTAAAACATTTCTTAAATATTATCAAATTATCAACATAAGTACCACAGATACCCACATCACATTCAGGGTATTCACCCACTTCCTTGATGGAAGAGAAACAGTGAGCATCATGCATGTTGAGTGGGGGGTGGGAAGGACCAGGAGTCCAGAAGAGGAGAAAGGCAGCCTGCTCGCAGCCTGGAGAGACTTCAGGGGTGCGCAATGTGCGTCCACTCACTTCAGTACCAGCTTCCACACTCAGGGCTTCCCTGGTGGCTCAGATGGCAAAGCGTCTGCCTGCAGTGCAGACCTGGGCTCCATCCCTCAGTTGGGAAGATCCCCTGGAGCAGGGAATGGCAACCCACTCCAGCATTCTTGCCTGGAATTCCATGGACAGAGGAGCCTTGTGGGCTACAGTCCATGGGATCACAAAGAGTTGAACATGACTGAGTGACGTGTGTGTGTGTGTGCACGTGTGTTCCACACTCAGTAGGTGAGAAGTTTAAGGAACATCTGGTGTGATCTCAAACAGTAGCTGAAAATTTGGCCAACCATTTATAAAGGAAGATTTATTGTATACCAAGGGTTTCTTCAATGTTCAGGGTGTCAATGCTGATGAGGAAAATGCCTATAAAATGGCCTTTATCCCTTGGACAGCACACACAACACAAATGCCGCTACCACTGTACACAGGTGGTGCAACAGGGGGAAAAAGCTGGATATAAAATAAAATTCACACTTTGCAAGCAAAACAATCTGAAACATATAAGGGGTTTATTTTTTATCAAACGATTGATCCTTTTTACTTTATGATGCTAAAAAAAGTGGCAAGTGTAGATACTATATAATTGAATGAAGTTTTGTTCTTTGCAATTGCCACAAATTATGTGTTGGAGCCCACATCTAAATCCTCAAAAGCTTTAAACTTTAGAATATGAACAGCTGGAGATAAAATTCATATGCATCACATTCTGAGATAAGTTACTGCACTTATTGCTTCCATTATGTGCTGTAAATAGTTTCCTGCTTATAAAATGACTTCTGACTTTTAATTTTAAACCCATGGGTGCATATATGAATCACATATGTATATTATATATATAATCCTATCCTTTAGAGAAACAACTATTAATAGCTCACTTTAAAAACCAACTCTAGTTTGGTTAATAGTCAGAAAAATGTGCAATGGATCAGAAAGCTTATCCCCATCAATAGGCATATGAAGAAGTAGAGTGGATCTTCAGGATTCTAGAACAATGCTTTGGAGCATCACACAAGAATTCTGAGTCTAAAGAACAAAGGCATTTATTCCAATTCAAACTCATGCCCATGGGGGACTAATTCATGGTTGATATTCATTCTCTTTCATTTGAATTGTAAACTTCTAGGAAACAGACTTCATTTCTTTTTTCTGTACCACAATGATTACACCACAGTGCACAATTAAAAAGACAAAACCCATCACTACAGCACCGGTCTAACTCTGACTTGAAGAGAACTTCAAGCTTCCTATCACTCTGCCTACTGTTGAGCTCCCTTCCACACGGCAGAAAATCAGAAAATAAGCAAAAACAACCCCCCAAGAAGCAAAACCTTGGCTACAAATTACCATGGAGACTCAGTGTGAGGGCTATTATGAAAAGTTGCCTCCCTTAGTAGAAATGTTCTCTTTATCTGTGGTAGCTAATACATACAGCTACATAAGCATTTCTGTTATAAATTTTGCCTTCACAGGGAAGTGACCGAATGAAAGGAAAAAAAACCCAAATCAGATGCACCCACATAATCAACAGAATCCCTGACTACTCCTGGGTCCACCAGATCACAGATTCACTGACCTGGTCACTCAGCTGCCAATGTTTGGTCCATAAGATCATGAAGTAGGGATTCTCAGGTCCTCACCCCATGAAGGCACTTGAAAGGATTGGGAATGGACTTAACTCCTCAAAGTGTTTTGCATAATCCTGGACCTTAGTCACATTTTTAATTTGCTGGAGCAATTTTGAGTTGATTTTGTCTTGAAAGCCTCTCAAGGATATTTTTTAAGAAGTCATATAGAGGAGTTTCATTTGTAGCAAGCCCAAACACAAAAGAATTAAAAGCATTAGGATGATATATGAAATTCAAGGCTATCAGTCAAAGTGAACCATAAACTAATATTCTATTAAAAGTGAAAAGCAAATAATTGTTGAAGGACATGTACATTGGGTTAAAGGCTAGTTTCAATAACACCAGGTTCTAAGCTTAATCCCTCAAAGAGAAGAATAACAGAAGCCTACCAACACACATTATTAATTAATTAAACAGACAGGAAATGCATGAAGATGTACCAGATCCCATGAAGCAGGTAATCTAAATAGATTCCTATCAAAAAGTCCAAATTACCACCCCCCCGCCCCCCGCCGCAAGTTTACTTGTTTCAATTTCTGGTTAGCATTGATGCTGTGAACACTGTGAATCATTAAAGCAAGATGATATTGATTTAATAAATATTCATTGAGCATTTGCTCTATGTCAGGCTCTGAAGATATAAAAAGAATTAATACATAATTGCTCAAGGAGCTTTCAGCCTAGTGAAAGAGAGCAAAAACGAAAACCAAATATTGTGCTGTCAAAAGTCACATGTTTTTACTGGAGCATAAAGGAAGAAGGAACAAGAAAAGTACCATCGGGGACTTCCTTGGAAGTCCAGTGGATAAGACTCCACACTCCCAGTGCAGGAAGTCTGGGTTCTACCCTTAGTCAGGGAACTAGATCCCACATGTTGCAACTGAGAGTTTGCATATCACAACTAAAGTACTTAAATGCCACAACTAAAATAGAAGATCCTGCTGCAACTAAGACTTGGCTTGGTCAAATAAATATTTTAAAAAAGAATATAAGTCTCACTGGTTTTTTTGAATTTCATGAATAAGAAATGAAATGTAACATAACATTTCTGACTTGAGTAAGCTGGTGGTTAGAGATGCCATTCTCTGAGAAAGAATATAAGTGGGAGGGAAAAACGAATTCAATTCTGGATCAAGTTCTGGAAGTTGTCCTTACAGAAGGAGGATCAGAGAGGCATGCGGTTACAGATGGGGACTGCAGCATCTCTAGCACACAGGGAGTAGTTGAAGTATTGGAAATAGATTCTTTCCTAGAGAATATGAGAAGATATCAAGAATAGAACTCTTTGGGAGCTAGCATTTAGGGCAGTAATTCTCAACCTTGGCTGTATTCAGTTGGACTAGACTGGGAACCTTTAAAAAATTAGTGATAGCTCAGTCTCATCCCAAGACTTCTGACTTAAATAGACTGGGACAGGATCTGGGCACCAGAATTTTACCCAAGTGGTTCTAATATGTAGCCAGGGTTAAGAACCACTGATGTATGGGTTGGTGCAGGAAGAATAAGAAAAGGAAATCATCAAAGAGGAAGAGAAACAGAAAGCGTGTTAGGGATGCCTAACAGGGGTTTTTCCAGAAACAGGAATCTGTCAGCAGAGTTGAAAATACAGAAAGACCAATAATGTGGAGACAAAAATGTTTCTGATTTTAGTGACTGAGATTAAGAAGGGTCATTCCTACACAGTAATCAGATGCTATGGACTCAATGTACCCAGGTGGCGAAGAAATCAATATATTACAGTGAATGTTGAATACACTTTCATGGACCGTGATTGTGAAGGGAAGAGAGAGGGCCATGGCTACAGACATAAACAGGCTGAAGAAGGGTTTTGTTTTTAAAGACTTCGAAAGATTTCATTGTATAACTAAGCTAAAAGAGGCACTAATGGAGAGACATGGAGAAGCGGTGAAAGGGCGAGGGTGAGAGAAACAAGAATCTGGGATGGACGAGAGCAGTGCAAATACAGATCACATCTTAAATTCTTGCCCCTTTTACTTAAAAAAAAAACTTTTTATTTTGTATTGGGTTAGAGCCGATTAATGACGTTAGGATAGTTTCAGGTCAACAGCGGTGAAACTCAGCCCCAAGAAATGTCACAATCTAAACATTTTTTGTGCAACCACTGTTTTCAAAACGTGATTTCAAAGTAAATTTGCTATAAAGCTAAGTATTTTGAATTAAAAAAAATCTATGTACCTCTAGTTTATTTCAAATTTAAACAAAAACTTCAATTTTTAGTTGAACACACAACCATATAACAGTAAACACACAACAAAATAATATTACTTAAAGGAAAAATGACATGCTAAATGACATAAAATATGACTATTTCTTTTAGGCTTGATTAACTAAATAATTTTAATACTACATTTTTGCCAAATGCAGTTCAAGTAACACTCTGATTTTTGAAGCTGAATCATAAATTACTTATTGTACTCTGACAAAATTACCATCTCTTGGCGTTTACATCAAATCCATTATCTTGTGTTCTGTTGCTTAGCAACTGGAATTTTGAAGTTTAATGCATTTTAGGTGGGTATTTAAACTCCAAACAGAATTTCAGCTTTGCAGTCTACAGAAAGAAATCCCCAGACACATCTGCTTACTTAAATTTCCATATTTCCTTTGTTTGCAAGGGCTCAGATATGCTATGTTTTGGAGAAAGAGTCCAGCGATTTTTGGTGGAGCACATTCAACATCACGTATCAAGACATACTATATGCATACCAGCCTTTTTAGCTTGTTTTTATTTTTACTAGGAGCATGGAACAAAGGAAATCTTTTTGTAGTCTTTATTAAATGTTTCAGGCTTTAAATCTATGATTTAGATCCCACTACATAGTACAATTCTCCACAGAACACACACACTGCATGCATGTATATTATATATAACAAGCATTTCAACTCACCTGTTCCCAGGCGAACACGTGTTGGTTGAAATAAAACTGAATTTGTTCATTTGCAATGTTAATGCACAGCTGCTCAAAGGAATTTTTTTTGAAATTTTCAAAGCCAAATATATCCAGAATGCCAATGCTTAGTTCATCACCATTGCCACTGGAAAATTAAAGAGGTATTATTTTGAGCTTTTATTTACTTTCTTAGGAGGTAATTGAAAGCAGGGTATCTCTGAGTCACTTTTGTGATTTAGCTAAGAAACTATATATTATTAGAACACAGAGTGAAAATTTTCTTAATTGAAAAAGTTTCCCTCCATAGAGCATAAAGTAGATAGCATTCATTTTAAGATGTAGACAGTACAATATTTTCCCTGTACTTCAGAAACTATTTCCATACTATCTTGAATACTTGAACAAAATAACCGTTTTGTCCTATGGGTTTATAAACAAAAAAATCACAGCCTCGAGTGAGTCATGAATCACAAGGAAAACCTACCAAGTACTCAGAATACAGCATGAATATGTTCAATAAAAGCCATACCAGAAAAGCAAAAGCTCCTTGAAAGAGCATTTTGTCTCTCATTTTAGGACAATTAAAATGTCCTGCTAAAAATATTTTACTTAAAGAACAGTTATTTTTGAATTATTCACTTGTCATTTTTAATACAGAACACACAGTAACCTGGAGAAAGTTATAAATATATATTAATTTATTTTATAATGCAATACTTTAAAATACAATTAAATTCTATTTTACAATTCAATATTCCAGATGCTTTCTTTCCCCTGCTCCTTCACAAAGGTTATCTCTGTTCATTGATTTTGAGGGACAGATAGTCAAGAATGTTATTCCTCCATGTTCTTAAGTCCCTTGAACAGTTTGAATGATATGGTGTGGTGTGTATTGTAATGGAAAAGTAACAATGAATTGCAGGCCTGAAATGTGTATAAAATGGTCTTTTATGCATAGTAAGCAGGTGCGAATGAGACGATCTTAAGGTAGAAATCCATCTTGTTCTTCACATACCAATTTCTAAAGATTGCATGATTTACAGAATAAAGCTGTGGATGTAAATGTAAAGATATATCTCTGCATAATCCCTGGTGTATAGACAGGCCATAGACTTACCTTATATTTCACCTCGGTTATGGTCACATAATACTACTGCTTGTACCTTGCCACTTACCAGTTTATTTAGAGCATTTCTGAACCAAATTTCACTGGAGGCCATATGTACCCTTGCTGGGTTAAAAAATGAACAGAAATTTTTCCAGGACTTTCCTGGTAGTCTACTGGTTAAGATTCTGCACTTCCAGTGCAGGGGGCTCAGCTTCAACTCTGGTTGGGGAACAAAGATCCTACATGCCATGCAGTGCAGCCAAAAAATAAATAAATAAGATAATATAATAAATAAAAAAGAAAAGAAAGCTTTCTTTTGCCTTGAAGATTTAATTCAACCCCTCAACACAAAGAACTGCTGAACAGACATTCTCTGCAAGTATAAAATGGTATATATGCTTCACAGTACACCTTCTAATTAAAAGAACATGTAAAATGATAGTAAGAAGTCACACTAAAAAAAATCACTTTCTATCATGTTTATTCACATTGCTGCAGTTTTTGTTCCGGCAGTTCTAAAAGTTTTACAGCCACATGGTGCAGTGAAGTGGTATCATTAGGAAATAGAGCAGATCTACTAGAAATATAACTTTAATAATTAAATGATATGAGTTAGAAACATCTTCAAAGGAACTCATAGAAAAATCAGTAAATTAGAAAGCAGATCTACATCACTTGACATTTGGGGAGCATGTTCCATAAAGATTTTTACCTGGGTGATGCCTCATGCTTCAGTAAGCTATTAATGCGGTTGACTATCCAACTAAATAAGCGTCCATATAAAGTTTTAGCCATTGCGTCTCTGACATCAGTAGCCTTCTCTACAGTGTTGGGTCGTATGATGGTTTCTCCTCTAGTGACCACACAGTGGGAGGTGAGAGCTTCTTGCAGCTCATCTGCTTGAATGCAAAGCAAAGAAGCAGCTAAAAATAAATAAATAAATAAACAGAGGTGTTGTTAGAAGGCTTTATGACAATGAAGTCAGTCCCCAGAAAATGCAAATGTCTTAATTCACCTTCTATAAATGACATGAAATAAGCATGTGAGTGTTTTATAATATAAAAAGAAGCTCCTATTCAATAAGAGTTCTATGTCTCTTCTTGATTATCTTTCTCCACTTATCCTGACTGGTTGGGTGCAGGCTGTTGTATAACATAGCAAGACCCAAACCAAACTGACAGGGCAACCCACTGCACAAAGCCAGTGGCTGTTTAGGTTATGCCAAACATAATTTCACTAAGCTATGTTAAACAATTTAAAAACATAAGGAAAACTTCTGTATCATTTGAATGTGATTATACAGACACATTTTCAAAATACAGAAATTAATTGTAAGGTTACCTAGACTTTAGGGATGTATGCAAACAAATGCCTTTTAAGTAACATTCACAATACAGAAACAAAGGAGCATTAAATATCTTAACATTCATACATTTTTATCATACTACTTATCAGTTACATATGTCAATGACTAAAGTTTGTTAAAACTTGCTGCCTGAATAGTTAATACTTAATGATAATTAAATCAGAGAACTTGTAAGTGAATAATACTTAAACTCAGTGAACAAAACTCATTTTTAATATAATAAACATCCTTAACCAAACTATTACATGACAGACAGGCTAATTTCTCCAATCAGTTGTTCTCCTTTTAAAATATTTTGAATATTTTAAATTTACTTTTAGCACTTTGGAAAAGATATTTCTTGACTATGAGGCTAAAATTGTTGAGCCTTATTTAAACAAAATATTTTTTCAAATTGTATAAGTAATACTGGCTCAATGCAGAAATCCCTACCTTCAAAGAAAACATTCTGTGTTTCTTTCCTTTTGGGCATGTTTATTGCCACTATTCTGCATATACATTCTATTTTAATATCTTAAGCATTTCCAATTTTGTTGAATAGTATTTGTTGGCATCAATTTACTTTGCTGCATAATATTCTGACATATATCTTAATGTATCAATTTTTAAATTGTTGGATGCTCAGGTTGCTTCCATATGGTCACAGTTGTAAAGAATGTGAGGATAAATATTTTGGGCATGAATCTGTGCTCTTGTCCTGTATTATTTTCTTAGCACAAATTGCCTAAATTTAGCAGTTGATTCAGAGTATATATATATATCAACATATACATAGTGTTGAGATACACTATTGCTCTTCAAAAACTGTGAACCAACTATACTCCCATCAGTTAAATGAAAGATAAATAATTTCAATACAAGCTCACAGACTCCACAGATTATTATTTTTAAAAATAATGTTTCCTTCTTTCAATTTGTGTTTGGTTCCTAGAAAAGCTGAATACTTTCTTCTTTTCATATTTTTATTAGTGACTTGTTCTTATTTTGTAAACTGCCTGTTTTTTTCATTGATATAATCATCTCTTCCTAACCAATTTATAAGTTTAAAGAGAAAAATGCTTTGATATATACATTGCAAGTATTTTTCCTCCTTTTTCATCTGCATTGCAATTTATTTTCCTGCTTTTAGGGTGAAACTTTAATTTTTATGTAGTCAAACATCTACTTAACACTTATGTGTGACCTTCTCACATAAAGTCCTTCAAATCTTCTCTCATTTCAGGATTATATAAATGCATTTTGTCCTGTACACTCATATATTTACTTTTTTGCATTTATACTGATAAACCTTTGGAACTCACTTTGGTATGTGGTGTGTGAGAAGGATTCAAACCCCTCATCTTTGAAATGGTCAGCCAGTTGCCTGTCCCTACAACACTGATCCCCTTGTGATTTGTAATGCCTTTTCTGGTAATTCTACTTAGCTCTGTTTCTGATTAATGTCTCCTACTTTGACTGGTACGTCTATTTCTATTCCCCCATTATTCATTCATTTGACATGTTTATCTACTGACCATCTACTGCATGCCAGGCATTTTACCTGGGGATACACTGCTAGGTAGAACACCTTGTAAGGCAAAGTTCTCATCTTGATGGTCTTCATCCAGAGGAAATGAGAAGCTAATCAAGAAGTACAAGTGGGAAGAGAGAGTGGGGGGAAGGAGAGGGGCAAGGAGCGGGAGAGGGAGACTGAGAGTTCCCATGAATACATGTGGTAAGTGATTCCTGAATGAACTGTGAAGAACAGCCTGGAAAAGTTCAAGAATTAAGGTAGAATGAACCACTGGGTGGTCATTCAGTTCAGGTGAGAGGTGATATGTCTGGATGAGAATAATGATGATGGAGATAAAAAGAAGAGGCCGTATTTGGGAGAGAGTTACAGGAGACAAAGGACAAAACTGGTGCCTGATTGAAACCATGCACCTGTAAAACCATCCAGAGCCACAGCCTTCATTTGCAGGTAATTCCTTGTATCTTTAACTATAAATCACTTTCATGTAAATTAGTAAAATTTCTGTTTCCCATGAGTGGTTGTTTCAGAAAGTGGTTTAATTAATTTTAACTATATTAACATTAACCTTTTGTGACCCATATGACTGTCTCCTGCTCTACAAAAATAGGTTATCAATCATCAAAATCACTCTTCAGTTTAGCGGTAATTCATGTACTTATATCCACATCATAGCTTTATTGCAGCTCATTCTGTTGGTGCTGATAAGTCATCTAAATATGATCAGACAGTGAGGTTCGAATTTTATCATGGGTTTTGAATTTATTATTTATGGCTACTCCTCCTTATCATGAGGTTTTGAATTTATTATTTATGGCTACTCCTTCCACTTCTGATAACCTAATATTGTATGGGCCAATTAAGTTTTCTTTATATAGGAAAAGCCAGAATAGGTTACATCATTACATGACAACCTCAGACACATCTGCTGTATTACCCAGCTGGTTCCAGACACTCAGTAGGATGAAGATGATAGAGACCTGTGGACAGGTTCAGACCAGGGTGGTTTGGCATTCGGCTCTCTGAAATCACCCTAAAACATCTCATTCTGTTCGTAAGTAAGTATAAATCAGAAAAAAATATATACAGCAAGTCCCCTACACATGAACCTTCAAGTTGCGAGCTTTCCAAGATGGGAGCTTGCATCTAATTCCAGCAAAGAACCAGAACCTGTGCCATCAACATCAGGCATGAGTGAAATTGCAGCTGGCCCTCCATCTCCTACTGCTGATGATCCTTCATCTCTACCTTCTCCCACCTCTTGTCCCTCCTCCAGTCAGTAACTCTACCTGCCTGTTCACTTAATGCCAACCCCTGCATGCCTCTTGTACCATACTGCTGTATTTTTCAAGATACCATACTGTAAGATTTAAAATGTTTTATTTTTGTGCTTGCTTTTATGTATTATTTGTGTTAAAAGTATTACAAACCTATTACAGTACAGAACTAGACAGCTAACTGTGTTAATTGGGTGCCTAAGCTAACTTTGATGGACTTACGAACAGAATGCACTTACAAACGCACTCTTGGAATGGAATTTTTTCGTATGTAGGGGACTTACTATAAATTAAATTTTATATCATATTTCCCAGGTTACAAATGAAACTTTAACAGACCTGGAATTGTGGGGCATATGCCAATATTAAAAATTAAAATAGGGTATACTCTAAAAAAAAGTTTGCCACAGGATGCTATCAGTGAGAAACCTTAAATTACTGAAATAATTCATTAAACTCAGTCAATAAAAGTTGATTTGAAGCAAATACCATGATGTACTTCTCTTGCATAGAAAATGACTCCAAAATGAACCAACCCAAGATGAATATGTATAAAACTCCATTTGGTACAAAAATAAATATTCAGATCTTTATTACTTATAAATGACAGAGATGCCAAACTTATACAATAACAACTTCAACTCTTTTTCACATCAGTTTGCTAAATCTTAATTATGTTTTCTGTGCTTTTACACTGAAATGTAAATAGCTCCTAAAATAGTCATGAAAGCCTAGTCTTTGGAAATGTTTCCTACAGTAATTAGTTAATTTGTAGGCACGAAGATCTGTTTTAAACAGTGGACTCTGGAAACTTCACTTGACGCAAATTGAATCTGAGAATTTTTTTTTAGGATTCCATAAACATACAACTGCCCCGATGTGACACCCTCACTATGTCATCAGATGCTTTTTAGGAGTTCAGTTTTGAATGGAAGATATAAAACTCACAGTTCTCCAGAGCTGCATGATTCGAAATGTGGCTCTTGTCAATCTGGTGTTCAGTTGCCACAGAAGAAAATTCAATGTTTCCAACGTTCAAGATTGCAGCCAGTATACTGTAAATACTTCCAAGTTGCTGAAATATGGCAAGGAAAGGTTAGCAGCTCTCTCCCCTTGAGAACAGCAGAGCAGAGACTGTGGCTGCAGACAGACCAGGGAACTCTCCAGGCTCCCTCATAACAAGGTCATCCCAAGGACGATGATGCCGAACTAAGAGAAGCCACCTGGCTTCCTCGGTCCTCTCATTCTATTCAAATCATCAGTGCTGGCTGAATTACGATGCTCAAGAACTGTAACTTTTCATACACGTTGAATGAAGACAACTAGGTACCAAATTATTGTTTTTAAATTCTTATGAAATGACTAAAAGGGATTCTTCCCATTCTGAATAAAACCAACTTTTAAAAATAAAATGTTTCATAGAAATTCACCATTTTGTGTACCTTTACAATATTTTAAAATTTACTTCGCAAATATTATTTGGTCATAGTGGAAGCCACAACTGATAATCCAAAGAAAATATATTATATTGTGATCTTAGACTGTCATAAAAAATATAAGGAAAATTAAAGCAGGGGAAAAAAGGCATTCTCATCTTCAACAAAAGACATATGACTGTGCAAAGGGAGACAAATAAAATTCCTGTCATGACATGATAAAAATTGCCTCTAAATGAGTTGACTCATAAAACTATTAATCATTTATTTTAAAGCTATGGCAAGAAAATGGCATAGAGAATCACATGTTTTTAAAAGTTTTAGAGTTTTCTAATTTGTGCTATTTTTAGAGAATATTTTATTTTGACTTGCCTGTCAATTTGCCTGGCGTGTGCTGAATCACAAATGTACAAATAAACTAAATCCCAGGGATATTTAAAGGGACACATACACCATGGGTGCTGTCAACACCAATCAGAGAAAGACGAGGACAGAGAGAGAAAGAAACACGGAGAGAGAGAAACGTTCTCTCTATTGGAGAGTCACCAAAATTGTGAAAGGCAGTAAGCTGTGCTTAGAGGATATGAAAATCAAGCCACTTAATTTTATTTTGCAAGTGGCCTCTTTTCAAGATGAAGTTGAAGCAGCTATGGACAAAGGACACATCCAAATAAGCCAGTGAGATGACATTAAAAAATCAGGAGTGGGATAAAAAGGAAGTGAACACCCACTCAGTTTAATTCCACTCTGTCCCATCCAGGACAGTCTGTCTTGTTAACTCCTGGAGACTGTTTCCAGGTGGGAGATCAGCACCTTCTAGGAGGGTAACCTTCAACTGGACTAAAAATCTTCAAAAATATTTAGCAGTGATTATGCTTCAGCTCCAGAAACAGATGTTATATTTTCCTTCCTCCTAAGCTGTGTGTTTGGATATTCAATAAACACTGACTATGTTTAAGCTGAAACCTGCAGTTTTACATAAATGAATTATATTTGTCACTAGACGCTGACTGCTAGACTCGTTTCCTTGTAATGTGACTAAACGTTGCTCTGCCAGGCAACCGAAAGCAGTTGAGGCAAATATAAGTGAAACATTGCCTCTAATGATTCAGACTTAGAAGTAAACAAACCAACAAACCAACTAAAACTTATACCCTGCTTCTAAGATAGCAACCTCTGGGGGATGGAACTGGTAAAAAGATAAGTTCCTCCGATGATGCAAAGCAGGGAAGAGAGCTAAAAAGAAGTCCAGCTCTGGGTTGGCAGCAGAAGCTGCTTGCCAGGTGAACAACATGCTTCCACTCTGGAGGATGCTCTGAGATCCAGTTAACCTCTTCTGTTTCCCCCTAACCAGGCAACCAACAGAGCCAGACCACAGACCAAAGGGGCATCGACCACTAGCTACATTCATATTATGACCAATGATTGGAGACAAGAATGGACGATGCTTTTTTTCTTTAATCACTGCATCCTCTTCTGCTTTAAGAGCCAGGATACCCCCTAGTGCTTAAAGTGACTTGTCTCCATGCTTACAAGCTGTGGGTGATGGCACAGTTCTGGGGAGGTTAGGGAGAAGTAAGGGGCATACCAGGTGGAGCTAGTGGTAAAGAACTGACTACCAATTCAGGAAACACAAGAGATGCAGGTTTGATCCCTGGGTAAGGAGGATCTCTTGGAGGAAGAAATGGAAACCCACTTCAGTATTCTTGCCTGAAGAATCCCATAGATAGAGGAGCCTGGCGGGCTACAGTCCATAGGGTCACAAAGAATTGGACTAAGCCTGGAACAGGGTGGGCATATGGAATCACCCGGAATGTCTCTCATGGCTTGTCTGAAATCTCTGGGTGGCAGCCATATGTCACTTGGAATATGGCTGAAACTCATGCCTTCCCAGTCAGGGACTTCCTCTCCCAGAGCTGAACCACCTATAAACACACTAATTTCACTAGTAATAAAAATGTCTATTTTATTAGGAAATCTGTTTATCAGGATCATCTCTAACTCCAAATGTTCAGGTCAGATCAGTATTGTTCCCAAAAGGTAGTCAGGGAAGGTTTTACAGCACAGTTTTTAATGTCATATGATGTTCACCACCTAGACCTCATGGCTACAAAAGGGCACAAATCACACCACTCTTCACATGAGATATCCACAGTGAGTTCCCTAAGCTTAGTACTCTCTCAATTGTTCAACTCCATTCTGTCCTCATCATCTGTGTCCCAAATCTCCAGCAAAGGCTATAATTGATCAAGCAAACTGTCCTGTCCTTACATATCAATCTAATCACTCTGTTAACCTTGGCTGCTACTTCTGCTTATTCTCCTCCTCCACCCTTCCGCCTTCTTTTTCTTTATTTTGTGAGGGTACAGTAGAAGAATGAGATTTATGCACTGGTCCTTTAAAAACCATGCATCTGTCGAACCCGTAGAAAGTTCTTCATTTTGACACATTACAGCTAAGAGCAAACTCAGCAAGCTTCCCTAAAAACCCTCAGAAATCTAAAAAATGCATTCTTTTTTTCCATTTCATAGGCTAAAAAGTATTGAATGCATCAACAGAGAGAAAGTCTCCAATCATCTCCTTTCTGCCTAGAGACCACAGAACCACTGTTTCCTGATTTGTGCTGCAGTTTATAGAGTGGACAGCCAAAGTTCCAGGCAGGGTCCACGAATCTACAGAAAGAATGAATTATCCAAAATAAAGATGGCTGAGCTGGAGCCTCTACTTCCAAACCAAAAAGCTACTCAACTTCAGCCCAAAGCTTCCTGTGAGTAAAGTAAGGATGCATTCAACCCTGGCTTGTCAATGAGTCTACAGTATGTTTTCCTCTTGTCCATTTACCTCTTAATCTTCTGGCAAAAACTGAAAACTCTTTGGGAAAGTCATGGTAATGATTCTTCTCTGGTCCCCAGAGGAGTTATTTCTCCTTGGCTGATCCTGAAAACAGTCTTCCAGGTCCCCTTGGGCTCCTACAGCTCTCCCTCACCCCTTCCCACAACAGGCTCATTCACCTAGAAACACAGAAGCAAAGTATTTCAGAACTCAAGGGGGACCCTAAATTCTGGGGCTGCAAAAGTAGCCTGGTAGGGAGTGCCCCTCCCCCCCACATCACATCTGAATTCCTCTTGGTTATGGAGAAAGGCCACACCAGAAAATTTAACTCTAAAAGTTGAAACATTTCCTGATGGAGAAGGATTATCCTGATTTACCTAAACCTCTTTTGAAGAGAAGGCCCTAATTTCAAGTTAGAAAAAGAAAAACCATTCATGTGTCCTTCTCCAACCTCGTCAAGTTGGCAGAGATCACACCCCATTCCCTAAAGTCACAGTTCTTAAAAATACATCCCTTCAGGCCTACAGCTAGGATACCCAAGGTGGAGTCAAAGACTTTCCAAAAGAAGTCAAGGCTGGGGAACTACCTGTCATCAAAGCTGCCAACAGAAGAGGCTCTGCATTTGAGAAAACGCACTTAGCAGCAAACTTTGCCCTATGCAGAGAACAGGTACGGGGTGGGGGTGGGGGGGTTGTTTGTTTGTTTAGACTTTTTTGATGTGGGCCATTTTAAAAGTCTTTATTGATTTGTTACAATATTGTTTCTGTTTTATCTTTTGGTTCTTTGGCCTCAAGGCATGTAAGAGCTTAGATTCCCAATGAGGGATGGGACCCATACCCTTTGCATTAGAAGGTGAAGTCTTAACTACTGGAAGGCCAGGGGTGTCCCCTGGTACAACTTTGAAATAATTACTTGAGGGCGAGCACATGTATCAAATGGATGAAAGGCTACTGTTGACAGCCTTCTATTTTAGAAGGGAGTCAGCAGTTCCTGACAAACATGCTACAAAATTAGATTCAATAATATCACTGCACATAATTTGAATGATTCTCATCACATTTCACTTCCATCAGCATCTCTACATTTTATATCCTGCTGATAAAACTTTCCAAATATTTGGAAAAGAATTAGGTATTATTTTTAGCTCAGGCTCTTAGTAGAGATTTGATAACTGAAAAATTTCAGTAAACTTCTTAAGCAGATACATGAACAGTTTCAAATTGTAGGAGTGTCATTTATGAAAATGAAATTAAAATCCAACAAATTGCACACTACTTTCCTGCAAGAGTTCATCTAAAAGCCTGATTCACATTCATAGTGAAGTACTCTTCTTATCAAAGAACCGAGTCAACATAGCAAACAGTAAGCTGCTAAGAGCAGAGTCTGAACGCTTCTCTAAAAGCCTTCAGGAGTCCCTATTAAACAAAATACTTCATTACAAAAATTTTAAAAATACAACCTAGGACACAGAAAGAAATCTTTTATTATGCAAGGATAAATTCATAGCCTTAAATGCTTTCATTATTAAATAAGGAACGTGAAGAGAGAAACTAAGCATTCTCGTTAAAAAAGAAAACAAGAAACCAAATTCATACATTAATAAAAAACATTTTTAAATAAAAATCAATAATACAAATAATGTGCTTCAAAAGGCACCATCAAGAAAATAAAAGACAACAAAAGAGAAAATTTTTGCAAATCATGTAAGACACTTGTATCTACAACACAATTCTTACAACTCAATTATAAAAAGAACTTAATTAAAAAATTAGCAAAGAATGTGAACAGATGCCTCTTTAAAGAAGATATATAAATGAAAAATGACCAACAAGTGCATGGAATAGAACCTCAACATCATAAGCCTTTACGGAAATGTAAATCAAGCCCACAGTGACACACCATATCACACCCACGAGACTGGCTAGAACCAGATAATAGTAAGTGCTGGGGAAGATGGAGAGAAGCCCGAACCTACCTACTGAATTGAAAAATAGTGCAGCTGCTTACAGTCTGGTAAGTTCCTCACAAGGTTAAAAATAGTGTTGCTCTGTAACCTGGCTCTTCCATTCCATGGTATTCACCAAAGAGAAGCAAAAGCTCATGTCACATAAAAACTTGGACATGGATGATCACAGCAGCATGATTCATAATAGCCGAAAAATGGCACCGACCCAAATGCCCATCACATGATGAATGGATAAATAACATGAGGTATATAAACACAATGCAACAGCACACCTCAGTGAAAGGCAGTGAAATACTGACACATACTACAACATGGATGGGCCCTGAAAACATCAGGTCAAACGAGAGAAGCTGATCACAAAGGATGACATAATGCATCACTCAAGTCATGTGAAATATACAGAATAAGCAGATCGAGGGTGATAGAAGCAAAGGTGGGGTGGGAATGAGGAGGAACTGCCAATCACAAGCAGGTTTCCTTGCAGGTAAAAATTTAGAACATGAAAATATTCTCAAAGTGATTATGGAGAAGGATGCACACCTCTGTGGCTGTATTGAGTCATTAAAATGCACAGTTTTAAATGGCTGACTTGTACGGTATGTGAATAATATCTTAATAAAGCTGTAAGAAGAAAACACTGCACTAAAAAAAATGTGACATGATCACATTTATGTATTTACATAAAATTTTATATATATGCGGGAGAGGTAAATATATATAAAATAAAAGATTAAGAACAAAACCAAGTTCAATTATATCTCAAGGCCACAGTTCTCAAGTATGAGATAAAAATGATAATCAATATTTCATAAGGTCATTTCAGTAATTTAAAAAATTATCCATACAATGCACTGAGCACAATGTCTGGCATGTGGACCACTCTATAAATGCTAACTCTTACCATGAGTGATGACAAAAAGACGCTTAAAGGTTTAAATGTCTTCCATACTCACCTCCATTGTAAAACCAATGACTTTGAAACACTGCTCAATTAATTCATATTGGGATTTATAGAAGCTATTATTCATCATGTCCTGTATTGTTCTGATGTGGTCATTCTGCAGGTATCTGGGGGTGGGGAGAAATCCCAAAGAATAGGTAAGAATCTAAAATTTAGTGAAAAGTAGAAGTATTATTGATAGAAGTTCAAGCTGCTGGTTTACCTGGGAGGCTTGTCTTCTGGCAATTTATAATGGGCTAATTTCTTCTTTTCAGCTAAACCAGTATAGATGTAATAAAAAATGTGAAAGTTTTTTTCTCCACTGAAAAGACAAGACATTTTCAGGAAGGTGGTTAGTAAGAACACTTATTAATTGCTAAAGTTTTTTGGTGATATAATTATCAGAACAACTGTGAGTGCCACAAAGGGTTTCCTGGAATACTGGAGTTTGGCTTTCCGTGGTTGCGACTGTCTTCAGTATTTTCAACTACAACTGTCATTGAATTACAGACTCTGCTAAGCACTTTGTTTGAATCATTCAGTACATATTTGTGTGCCCACCAGGCATTTTCTAGGCACTGGGGATACAGCAGGAGCAAACAGTCAAAATGCCCTGACTTAAAGTTTACATGCCAGTGGGAACAAAGTAATAATGAATAGGGCATGCCCGGTGGTGGTGAGTGCTACATGATCTTAGTCACCTGCCTTAACCCCCTCATTTCACATACAAAGAAACTGATGCTTAGAGGGGACACTAACCTCCCCTCAGGTCACAGAGTTGATGGCCAAACTGGATTTCACCAGGGCTGTTTGACTCCAAAGCCCACGTCATTAACCACCTCTCTATCCTGTCTTTCTGGGGCTCAATTTTCTCTCTTGCAAGAGAAATCTGTTACTCATGAATCTCAAGTTCTCTGCGGTTCTCTGTATAAGCAGCATTTCCAAGGCTCTATAATAGCACAATTAAGGAATGTGGGTTACAATGAGGTGTTGAAGACCTACTGCTCAGAAAAAAAAATTTCTTCCAAACTATGAAAGCTCATGGACAAGGCACCTGGTCACCCAAAAGCTCTGATGAAGATGTACAATGAGATTAATGTTGTTTTCATGCCCACTAACACAGCATCCACTCTGCAGCCCATGGATCAAGAAGTAATGTTGACTTTCATGTCTTTTTATTAAGAAATATATTTTGTAAGGCTATGCCTGCCATAGGTAGTGAGTGATTCCTTTGATGAATCTGGGTAAAGTCAACTGAAAACCTTCTGGAAAGGACTCACCATTCTAGATTTCATTAGGAATATTCATGACTCATGGGAAGAAGCCAAATATCAAAATTAACAGGAATTTGGAAGAAGTTGATTCTGACCCTCACGGATGACTGAGGGGTTCCAGACTTCAGTGGAGGAAGTAACTGCAGATGTGGTAGAAATAGCAAGAGAATGAGAATTAGAAGTGGAGCCTGAAGATGTGATGGAATTGTTACAGTCTCATGATAAAACTGGGATGGCAAGAGAGTTGCTTCTTATGGATGAGCAAAGAAACTGGTTTCTTAAGATGGAATCTACTGGTGAAGATGCTGTGAAGATTGTTGAAATGACAACAAAAGATTTAGAATATGACATAAAGGGAGTTGATAAAACAGCAACAGGGTTTGAGAGGACTGACTCCAGTGTTGAAAAAAGTTCCACTGTGGGCAAAAAGGTATCAAACAGCATCACAGGCCACAGGAATTATTCATGAAAGGAACAGTCAATCAAAGAGGCAAACTTCATTGGTAATAAGTTGCCACAGACTCCTCAATCTTCAGCAGCCACCAACTTGATCCATCAGCAGCTATCAATATGGAGGCAAGATCCTCCCCCAGACAAAAAATTAAAGCTGGCTGAAGGAAATCAGCCCTGAATAATCACTGGAAGGACTGATGCTGAAGCTCCAATACTTTGGCCAGCTGATGTGAAGAACTGATTTGCTGGAAAACAACCAACGAATGTCGAGAAAGGCTGAAGGTAGGAGGAGAAGGGGCAATAGAGGATGAGATGTTTGGATGGCATCACCGACTCGATGGACATGAGTTTGAGCAAGCTTCGGGAATTGGCGATGAACAGGGAAGTCTGGCATGCCGCAGTCCATGGGGGTGGCAAAGAATCAGACAGGATTGAATGACTGACCTGAAGGCTCAGATGATGGCTAGCATGTTTTAGTAATAAAACATTTTAAATTAAGATATGTGTATTTTTTTTAGACATAATGCCACTGCACACATAATAAACTACAACATATTGTAAAGGTAACTTTTGTATGCACCAAGAGACTGAAAAATTCATGTGACTTGCTTTTCTGTGATATTCACCTTATTGCAGTGGGCTGGAACCAAAGCCACAAATATGTCCAAAGTATGCCTGTATTCAATTGAATTTGAGATGAAAGCAGGTTGTTGGAAATGAAAATATGATCTTGGGACACAGCAAGACACACATCTTCTGCTGTCAATCACATAGAGCTATCCATTGAGGCCATGATGTCAGAAGAAATTGCTAAGCCTGAGAATATTCAGAGAAAGAAACACTCCAAGAACAAACTTTTGATAGGTACACAATTTGGGAATGGATGGATGAATCTAAGTCAGAGAGAAAAAACTCAGAGATGAGTTCAGTCATAAAAGCGAAGACAGGTGAGTGTTTCAAGAAAAGGGGCGTCCACAGGCTCAGATGCTGACATGAGGATGGCCACACCCTTTAGAGCTGACTGTGTTCATACCTTCTACGCCTCCAGCCATCATTTGTGGCAGTCACCAGTAACATTCTGATGAACAAGAGTGTTGTACACGAGCAAGGTTGGAACAAAACTGAAAGTTCACTTCTGGTCTTTTCTTACCACAAAATAACAAAACTCCTCTAAGACAGGCACAGCATATAATTTGGTTTGCTTTGTTCTAATGAAATCACATTGATTGCTCTATGTGTCATACTTTTAACACTTAAATGATGCGGTGCACAATTAGCAGAGTGACTCATAAGTGTAGACACACACAATTGGTAGTGTTCTTGTTAATTATCAGTTTACATTTACTGAGGACTGTAATTTGATAAGACCTGGAGATGATATAGGAAATATACTGACCTTCAGTAGATAAACAATTAGAGAATTAAAGGAACAGGAAAAAAAGATTACCCATCTCATGGGTATCTCCAGAGATTACCCAATCTCATGTCCTGCCTTAACCACATCAAGAAGGGAGAGCTCATATGATTAGTGATACCCAGGTCAGAATGGCCTGGGGGCAAACCCTGGGGCTCAGCAAGTCACCAGATAAGGCAGCTGACCTTGAATAATACAGGTTTGAACTTCATGTGTCCATTTACATGGATCATATAAATTATGGAAAATTATATGTGTAGAATATCTTGTGCAAGATGAAGTGGAGAACTTATCTTTACCCAGGCATACAGGGGGTGGTGACAGTTAACATAAAATTAACCATGTGTTACTTTTCTTACTATTTTTATCACTCTGCTCTCAAACAATTACATGACTATGCAGCATGCCTCTCTCTCATAACTGGAGAAATTGCATATCAGCCTGTCATCACCAAGTTTTTTTTTTTTAATGTACCAATATTTCCAATACTGTATGATGAATATGACTGTAATACTGTCTGCCCTAATTTTTTTTTTAAGTTAAAAATTCCTTAATATTTTATTCTGGGTACCACTACCACAATTTACAGGGCAATATACCTGATGTAATGAAAAGAAAAAGACAAAGCTACAACAGATAAAAGACCTCAGGAATGTACATCTGATTGACACTACATTGCATTAATCAATAGCTGCACTTTTTGCAAACTGTGGCTATGACAGTCCTGAACAAGAAGGCCTTCCTGTTTAAGCTGCAGTAACTTTTCAGACTATGGATCATCGTTCCCTCTGTGGCAGATCTTTACAGTTCCTCTAACGCATTTGGGACGACTGTCTCAAAGTAACCTGCAGCTTTCCTGACAACTCCTCGCTCCCTCTCCTGCTAAGAACTGTAGCCCTTTTCTTCTGAGTTTTTAGAACCTTCTGCTACCATATCCACCACTTCCACCACCAGATCCATAACCACCACCATAGGGACTGCCCGAGCTTCTTCCACCAAAACTACCCCCTTTCATGGGTCCATAATTTGACTGCTGTTGTCCACTATAATTTCCAAAGTCATTACAGTTTCCACCACCACCACAGTTACCTCCAAAATTTCCTCCTTCATTGTAACCATCATATCCTCCACCACCGCCACCATATCCACCACCTTGGCTTCCATATCCTGGTCCACCACCACCATAACCTCCTCTACTACTATAACCAGGACCACCGCCATAGTTGCCACCATCACCTCCAAATCCATTGTATCCACCATCACCTCCTCCGTAACTCCCTCAGCTGCCACCACCTCCACCACCATAGCCTCCTCCTCCATCAAAGTTTCCACCACAGCCAAAGTCACCTCCACCACCTCCAAAGTTTCCTCCACGACCCATAAAGTTGCCAGATCCACCTCCACGACCTCTTTGTGATCCAGCAGATTGCATCTCTTGTTTAGAAAGGGCCTTTTTCACTTCACAATTATACCCATTAATAGTGTGGTATTTCTGAACAACAATTTTATCAACTGTATCATGATCATCAAAAGTTACAAAAGCAAATCCTCTCTTTTTTCCACTCTGCCTGTCTTCCATAACTTCTATGGTTTCAATCTTGCCATACTTTTCAAAGTAGTCTCTCAAATTATATTCTTCTGTATCTTCTTTAATACCACCAACAAAAATTTTCTTCACTGTTAGATGGGCACCAGGCTTTACAGAATCCTCTCTAGAAACAGCTCTCTTTGGCTCCACTACACGCCCATCAACCTGTGTGGTCGCGCACACATTGCTGCATCCACTTCTTCAACACAAGAGTAAGTCACAAAACCAAAGCCCCTGGAACATTTCATTTGGGGGTCTCTCATCACCACACAATCTGTAAGTGTGCCCCATTTCTCAAAATGTTCTCTTAAGCTATCATCTGTAGTTTCAAAGCTCAGACCACCAATGAACAGCTTTCTCAAGTGCTCTGGTTCCTCGGGATCATGACCCTCCATTCTGAGACTGGACTCGCCTCTTCCAACTCGAGTTCAATATGGGACCGAGAGCCTAATATTTTTAAGATTCTTAAAAAGAATAAGATTCATTCATTAGTATATCAGCTAGGCTACTGTGAAGCAATTAGTAAATATGAATTTATTTTTCACATTATCTTTTCCTTTTCGATGTCCAGTGTTAGGATAACATTGAGAGTATCATCTAAGACAATACTGACATAGGTATTGAGAGATGATTCATCTTATAAAGAGACAATATGAACTTCACAGCATCAGTAGATACAGTACAGTACTTTCAATATATTTTCTCTTCCTTATAGTTTTCTTAATAACATTTTCTTTCCTCTAGCTTACCTTATTGTAAGACTCAGTACATATACTTTAACAAAATACACATTAATTGACTGCTTAGGTTATCGGTAAGGCTTCTGGTTCACAGTAGACTATTACTAGCTACATTTGAGGAAAGTCAAAGTTATTTGTAAATTTTTGACTGCAAGGGCAGTTGGCACCCCTTAACCTCACAGTGTTCAAGGGTCATTGTATTCTCTGGCCTACCCCTACTGTAGACCCACTAAGGCTTCCCCAGGGTCCCCCACAGATACTGAGGGCAGACCACATTCCTTCAGGCAGCAGCTCCCAAGAGGCGACAAACCTCCACAGTCCTAGTTCTCAGCAGGCTCTGCGGTGTGGGCCCCCCTTCTGCCCTACAGACCCGGGGCTGGGATGATGTCACAGCACTGCCAGTCTGTGCGTATCTCACCATTTATTCTGGGTTTTTCCAGCCCTCTCCCTCTGCAAACAGTCCTCTCAGTTAGACCCTTTGAACTGGTTCTTTCCTTTCAGATCCTGACAGGGTGCATCATCTTTTAAAGGACCTACTAAGAATTCTTCTATTATATCTCTGATACTTTCACTTTTAAACATCATAAAAAAGCTTCTCTAGTATTTAAAAATGAAATTCAAATTAAGATAAGAAAAAAAATAAATGTAAAAAACCTGGAAAATGAAAAAATTATAAGGCAAATGTTCTTGAATTATAACTGAGATGTATTTCAACCTGAAATACTTTTCCCCAATAAACAATGTAAACTAAAGTCATTTAGGCCAGCTGAAAATAAGCTTACTTTCTTCATAGTATGCCTAAAATATGACCCTTATTGTGCTGTTTTCTAGACTATATGGTGCAATAGTTCAATAAACATGAATGACATTATTTTTATGACAGCAAATTTGAAGTTATTTATAGTAAATACTTATATTGCATGCCTGCTTAGTCGCTCAGTCATGTCAGACTCTCTGCGACCCCATGCACTGTAGCCCTCCAGGCTCCTCTGTTCATGGGATTCTCCAGGCAAGAATATTAGAGTAGGTTGCCATTCCCTTCTCCAAGGGATCTTCCAGACCCAGGGATCTACCTGAGTCTCCTGTTTTGCAGGTAGATTCTTTATTGCCTGAGCCACCAGGGAAGCCCAAATACGTATATTAAAGGCATTTATATTAAATTCTATTGTACCTAAATTCCTGGGAATTTAACGTACAACACATAACTACGACAATGTAGATAATTCAAAATAAAACCAACACGCACTACCATGTGTAACACAGATGGCCAGTGGGAGGCTGCTATATAGCACAGGGAGCTGAGTTCAGCTCTCCCTGAGGACCTAGAGGGGTGGGATGGGGGCTGGAGAGGAGACTCAGGAGGGAGCGGATATATGTATACAGAAAGCTGGTTCACTTCATTGTGAATCAGAATCTGTTTCTGTTGTATTACCAGAAACGAATACAATGTTGTAAAGCACTTATATTCCAATTAAAAACTAAATTAATTTAAAAAGTAAAAGCAGATAAAATCCACGAGATCTTATTTAAAAAAAAAGACAAGAAAAATGGAATACTCTAAATTGCCATAACTTTTAAAAAATACCAGGGTACAAATTCAATGCTATGATTATAGTTTTTTCATTAGAACAACAAACAAAGATGGTTTGGGATCATGAAGACAGAAGATAAATTTTGTCATTCAGCTACAAACTGCCAAAAGGAACTTGCTCAACCTGAACATACCAGAACATCATGTTGGTGGCCTAATCAGAAGGCAAGGAAAAGAACACTACAATAAAACCCCTTCCTGAATCCTTTTATTTGGGGGGGAGGGATCCCTTGTGTATAAACACTGAGGAGAATACAATCAATACAAGGATCTATTTATATATACCAGCATTTAAAAGAAAAAAATAAGTTATTTCTAATTAAATTTCACATCTGTTTTGTGTAGAGAAGTATATTCTCCTCTACTTAAGAAATCACTCTAATTTATCCTGTTAGTACTTCCATGATGGGCTTAGGCTTTCTATCTGTTTTTATAAATTCAGGTTATTTACTAACTCTTTAAGGGCTTCTCTGGTGGCTCAATGGTAAAGAATCTGCCTTCCAATGCAAGAGACGTGGGTTTGATCCCTGGATTGGAAGATCCCCTGGGGAAGGAAATGGCAACCCACTCCAGTATGCTTGCCTGGGAAATCCCATGGACAGAGGAGCCTGGAGGGCTACCACCCATGGGGTCACAAAGAGGCAGAAACAATTTAATGACTAAAACAACTAACTGGATATAACCTATAAGCGAGTAAGATAGTGCTGAGGGATCTCTGTTTCCAATAGGCAATGCCTCATACATAGTAGATGATAAGCAAACTTTTGTTGAATTTTTGTTACATGAGTAAGACACTTTATTATTAAAACAAAAGCATCATCTTGGCTTACGTTTCCCAGACAATAGGAACCAGGTGATGTGAACTTACCTAGCTTGATGGATAACTCGGGATTTCTCCAGCAGGTATTCAGAGATCTGTGCTCCCACGACAGCTCCAGAAGGGGTAAATTTCATTTCTAAGTATTTTCCAAATCGGCTGGAATTGTCATTTATAATGGTGCAGGCATTGCCAAATGCTTCCACCAAATTGTTCACTTGTAAAATCTTCTCTTGTAGGGTTTTGTTATTAGCCTACAGAAAATGTCAAGGTGTAAAAAAAAAAAAAAAAGTAAAATTTTATTTTTGTATGAAATGAAAGGTCTCTTTGATAAGCACTTTATGTAGATGTAAACATACAAGAACATGTTCTTGGTTTGTTGCCAGATGTTACAACTCCATTTAAAAAATTTAAGGTAAAATTACATAGAGTGAGATTCACCCTTTATATGGTTCTGAAAGTTTCTACAAACACATGCAATCATATGAATCCCACTACAATTCACATATAGAACAATCCAATAACCTCCAAACTTGTCTCACTATTCTGCAGTCAATCCTCCCCTGCACCCTCAGCCCCCAACAATCACTGACATGTTTCTGGGCCCATAGTTTTAAATTTGCAAGAATGACACAGAAAGTGAACCATAAGGTATGTAGTATTCTTAACCTGGTTTCTCTGACTTAGCCTAGGGAACTTGAGATTTATCTAAATCTCACCCAGTGAGCTTTATTGCTTTGTATCAGGGTCCATTCCTTTTTGTTGCTGAGTAATATTCCACTGAATGGATATACCATTGTTTCTTTATTCATTTCCTAGTTCCCTTGTTTCCTCTTCTTGGAGATTATGAATAAAGCTGCTATAAATTATCTATAGTTTTTTGTACGAACAGGGGTTTTTATTTCACTTGGATAAATACCGAGGGGTAGAATTGTTGAGTTGTATAATGAGTATGGTTAGACTTTCTAAGAAGCTTCTGCGCTGTTTTCCCAAAGAGGCTGTACCATTTTGCATTCTCAGTAGCAATGTAAGAAAGTTTCATTCAGCTCCTCTACATCCTTGTCAGCACTTAGCATCCTTATTAGACTTCTAAAAAATATTTTAGCCATTTTTATGGTATTTCGTGGTAGTTTTAATTTGCATTTCCCTAATGACTACTGGGTTGAACATCCTATTTTCATTTGCTTTTGACCACTCACATATATCTTTGGTAAAATGGCTAGTCATTTTTTTGTTCCTTTTTTGTTGAGTTCTTACTTTGGAATGTTTGAGAGTTTTTAAATATATATTCTGAATACAAGTCTTTTATTAGATATGTGACTTGCAGATAGTTTCTCTGAGTCTATAGCTTATATTTCATTTTCTTAACAGTGTCATTCAGAGAACAGGATGTTTCTAATTTTGGTGAAATCAAATTTACCCTTTATGGATTAAGTTTTTTATGTTGCATCTAACAACTCTTTGCCTGACCCTGAAGAACAAAGTTAACTGACAATTTTCTTCTAGAAATTTTAGCTTTTGGTTTAATCTTTTGTCTATGATCCATTTGAAGTTAATTTTTTATAGTTTGTGAGGCCTAATGTAAAGTTCAATATTTTTGTATGGGCATATTCCAGCACCATTTGTTAAAAGATTATCATTAACTGATCTTTGCACTTTTGTTGCAAATCAATAAGCCACATGTGCAGATTCAGTTCAGTCACTCAGTCATGTCCAGCTCTTTGCAACTCCATGGAAGCAGCACACCAGGCTTCCCTGTCCGTCACCAACTCCCAGGGTTTGCCCCAACTCATGTCCATCAAGTTGGTGATGCCATCCAACCATCTCATCCTCTGTTGTCCCCTTCTCCTTCTGCCTTCAATCTTTCCCAGCATCAGGGTCTTTTCCAATGAATCAGTTCTTCACATCAGGTGGCCAAAGTATTGGAGCTTCAGCAATACTTATACAGTACTGTGCAGATTACTTTATTCCTTTGATCTATATGCCATCTTTTCTTCAATAACACACTGTCCTGACTATTACAGCTTTATAGTGACTCTTGAAATCAGGTAGTATTTGTTAATCCTCCAACTTTGTTCTTTTTCAAAATTGATTATTACAGTTCCTTTGTCTTTTCCACATAAATTTTTGATTCAACTCCTCAGTTTCTAAAATATAAAATCCTGCTGGGATTTTTACTGTAAATGATAGTGAATCTACAGATCAATTTGTAGAGAACTGATATCTTAATAATATTGAATCTTTTAATCCATGAACATATCTCTCCTATTATTCAAGTCTTCTTTGATTTCTTTTATCAATTTTTCTATTTTTCAGCATACAAATCTTGCACATGGTTTGTAAGATATAGATTTAAATAGTTTATGCTTTAATGGTTCTAATATAAATGATATATTTAAATTTCTAAACTGATCAGTTTGGGTATGTATAATTAATTTCTGTATACTGACTCCCCTTCAACTTGCTAGTAACAAAAGAAGAGGAAGTAAAGAAAGGATTCAGTGAATATATTAGGGCCAGAAAGAGAGAAAATTACATTTATAAAACCTTGTCTACTAAGACTGAGAAAAGTTAGAATTTGCTCAAAAAAAAAAAAACACATATGCTTCTTATACTTTTTGTTATATTTTACACTCACAAAGGACAACAAACATATTATAATTTCTGGGCATTATTAAATGTGGTAGTTCATGGATGTTAACTTCATCAATTATTAAATTCTGAAATATAACAGATATTTCTGTTAGGATAGGGAAAGAAACTAAATTATACCTTTCCAAGCACTGTCAGCTGCTGAACTAAGAGATGAGCACTTTCAGTTTTTCCAGCACCACTTTCTCCAGAAATAACAATGCACTGTGCAGTGAGAAAAAGGACCAGTAAGAACACTTCATCCTCACAATATTCAACGGACACACAAGAAACTAAGAGGAGAATTTCTAAGAATGTGAGCTTCTCCTTACCTGATCTGAACTGTATGTTACCATAGACTGGTATCCTAAGTCAGCCATGGCAAAAATGTGAGGAGGATTGGCAGCTCTCTTTGCTCCAATATACAACTTGGAATGCTAGAAGTTAAAAAGAACATGTGCTGTAGGGCTTTGGTTTCTATTTAAATCCTGTTTATTTACAGATAGAGCACTAGTTTTTAAAGCAACAGGTCCATCAAATATCTGCAAAGCATTACTAAACCACCAAAAGATTAATACATATTACACATACACATACATGCACAAATCATGCACAATTATGTAAAATAAAAGTTTGATATAAAACAACAGGGAAAAATGACATGATATAATATGACATAACATGGTCAGCGGTATTTAAATGAAGACTCTTTTGGAAGTGAATAACACTTCCAAAGCAGAACTTAAGGTTTCCAAATGCAATAATTTATTTTATTTATGTATTTTTAAATGTTTCTTTTGGCCATGGGGCATGTAGGCTCTTAGTTACCCTACCAGTGATCAAACTCTTGCTCCCTGCACTGGAAGTACAGAGTCTCAACCATTGTACCACCAAAGAAATCCCTATAATTTCTTGAAATAAGCAATTTAATAAGACAATTACATATCATTTTGTGAATTATTTCTTAGATATAATATTTGACATACAAGTACTACTTTTTTCCTTTCATATCATTTATTAATAACATACACTTTTTCATTTGATTTGCCCAAGATTGCATAGCTAATTTATAGCAGAATAGGCACTCAAGCCCAAATCTTCTAAAACCTTTGTCAATGTTCAAAATGCATTATTCTTCTAACTCTTAAAATGGTAGAAACTAAGAGAATTATATATTTTCACACAAAAAATTATATTAAGCACAGTATGAAAATAATATTCTAGAGTACTATACAAATAACTAGAAGAGTATGGACCCAACTAAAAATACAACACACACACAAAACAAATAATAAAAAGCCTAGCTTAACTCCAGAATATTAATCTATATTTAAACATTAGGGGTTGAATATTAGATAAACATACACTTAAATTCATAAAATATACCACCTGATATTAAAAATCAATCAAAGACTGATGTACCCCATCAATGTACCTCAATGTTCATTGCAGCCCTACTTACAGTAGCTAGAATATGGAAGCAACTTAGATGTCCATTGATATGGATAAATGGATAAAAAAGCTGTGATACATATATACAATGGAATATTACTCAACCATAAAAAGGAATGCATTTGAATCAGTTCTAATGAGGTGGAAGAACCTAGAGCCTATTATACAGAATGAAGTAAGTCATAAAGAGAAAGATAAATATCATATCCTAACACAGACACATGGAATCTAGAAAGATGGTACTGATGAATTTATTTGCAGGGCAGCAATGGAGAAACAGACATAGAGAACAGACTTATGGACTTACAGACTTATAAGTCTTAAGGGAGGACTTATCAGACTTACAGGGAGGAGGGAAGGGAGAGGGTGAGATGTATGGAGAGAGTAACATGGAAACTTACATTACCATGTGTAAAATAGACAGCCAATGGGAATTTGCCGTATGTCTCAGGGAACTCAAATAGGGGCTCTGTAACAACCGAGGGGGGCAGGATGGTGAGGGAGATGGGAGAGAGGTTCAAGAGGGAGGGGGCATTATGGCTGATTCATGTGGATATTTGGCAGAAAACAACAAAATTCTGTAAAACAATTGACCTTCAATTAAAAAATAAATTAATTTTAAAAAATCAATCCATATGTCAATAGGAATTTTTAAACTCATAATGCTGAGTTTATAGCCACTAAGCATACAGTATCTATATATACAATGTAATTTTACTTTTGATTCTCTCATACTTGATAGACGTTACATCTACTTATTTTAGGCATCTGTTTATTGATATGATGTTTAGTGTGAACCAGTTACCAGTTACCAATAATTTAAAGAGATAACATATCTCACACAAAGACCACAAACTGCATCCAGATATATTTGTCTTCTCTAATTCTATATTTTAACAATAATTATGTAACTACTGGGCTTCCCAACTGATTTGGCCACCTGATGTGAAGAACTGACTCATTGGAAAAGACCCTGATGCTGGGAAAGATTGAAGGCAAGAGGAGAAGGGGACGACAGAGGATGAGATAGTTGGATGACGTCACTGACTCGATGGACGTGAGTTTGAGCAAGCTCCAGGAGCTGCTGATCGACAGGTAAGCCTGACATGCTGCAGTCCACGGAGTCACACTTGGACATGACTGAGCGACTAAACTGAACTGAACTGGGCTTCCCAGGTGGCGCTGGTGGTAAAGAACCTGCCTGCCAGTGCAGGAGACTTAAGAGACTGAGTTCGATCCCTGGGTCAGGAAGATTCCCTGGAGTAGGAAATGACAATCCATTCCAGTATTCCTCCCTAGAGAATCCCATGGACAGAGGACCCTGGTGGGCCCCAGTTCATGGGGTCACTAAGAGTCAGACATGACTGAAGTGACTTAGCACAGCACATTTAACTATTGTTTATTTATCGGTGCTGCAGGGGCTGCTGAGAGCTATTTTCTGCTCAGAAGCATGTGTATGTGGCCACTACTCAAAGGTTCTAAAAAGTTTTTCAAAGTTGAATCTGCAGGTATTTTGGTCATTGTTGTGATCAATGATTTCTTTGGCTACCCAGCACAACATGTGGGATATTAGTTGCCTGCTCAGGGATCAAACCCATGCTCCCTGCAGGGGACATGCAGAGTCTTAACCACTGACCACCAGGAAATCCCTTAACTGTTTATTCAAAGGACTAGCTAAAATTTTATTTAGCATCATTTGGTGGTGGTTTAGTTGCTGTCATGTCCGACTCTTGCAACCGCATGGGCTTTAGCCCACCAGGATCCTCTCTCCATGGGGTTCTCCAGGCAAGAATACTGGAGTGGGTTGCCATTTCCTTCTCCATCGTTTAAATTAATTTAAATATCTAAAGAATATAATTTTTGTACAAAGTAAGAAAATACAAGTCACACCACGTACCTCTGCTGAATAAATATCCAGACTCTGAAATGGGTTAAGAGCAATGAGTATGTCTCCCACATACATGTAGATATGATCTCTGGAGTAACACTTCTCAAGTTGCTCTGAGACTGTATTCTATAATGAAATAAAAATAATTTATTTCTCTTAAAAAATCATTGATGGTCAATGATCATTTTTAAAATAAATGATGATAAATAAATAAAACATCTGGAATCTGGCACAGGTCAGAAAGAAAAAGATCTATTGAGAGTAAGAAGTATAACCTCAGGTCATCAACTATCTCATCCTTTGATGGGTATTTTCTTTTCTTTCAAAAGACACAGAAGAATGTCACTGCAATCTGTGTTTTCCATAGGACACATTAAGTTATAGGGATTATAAATACACAATGCTTTCAAGGAAATAACTAAATGCAGTAGATAAAGTAAAGAGAAAGAACTCTACAATAGAGAAAGGAAGATATAGTGAATGTGATTTGATTCCAAGTCAAGGTTAGCCAAGGGCTCTGTGAAATGTCTTGGTCCTTCACTAAAATATTTGGCTTTGAAACAGAGTAAAAAGTATAGAGAAGTATATGGAATCAATTTTAATAGTGCCAGGAATCATCATTTATAGTATATGACACAAAAACAAAAGCTCTTATATACTTCGGTCAAAAAAGAGACACACACACACAAAATACAGTTAATAGAAACAAACCCAGTGTTCAATATGTAGGTTGGCCACATGATTAGCAAAGTCTTCTTTATAATCCACAAGCCTAGGAATTCACATCATTGGAAAATGTGATACACAAAGATTCATAAAGGTGTTGTCAAACCTCTGACTTGCAAACACTATTTGATTATGAGATGTTTGACGTTCTGAAGAGAGATTATTCTGATGAAGCACTTGAGTTGTTTATGCAACCCTAAATTTACCAAATGACTACTTCTGTTCAGAAAATGCCTTCTGATTTCTTGCATTTTTAAGCAAAATGCTCAGGTATGCCTCAGAAGTATTAAAAAATAAAAATCTGTGGATCAGGCAGGATAGTGAATCCAACCTTTTGCTGAAAAGGAGTCTTTTATTTTTCTAATGATGTGATTATATGAAATGAAAAGAGATGAGGAAAAAGAGGCTGAGACCATAATTTACTGGTTTGGACTTACACCTTCACAAGAGATGTGTGAAACATTTCTGAGGTCATTGGGACAAGGAGTTTCAAGCAGAATTCATTTCCTAAAAGGTGGACTCTGTGATCCCATAAGGGGTCCACAGACCATGGTAAAGATGGGCTCTTGAGGTACCTAAGAGGCTTTGGGTCCTGCCATTGAGTGTGAAACAGAAGAGGGAAAGGAGGGATTATGCCAGATGGTGGAAAGAAAAAAAAGTGAAAGCCCCTTAGTTGTGTCCAATTCTATGTGACCTCATGGACTGTAGTCCACTCCTCTGTCCATGGAATTTTCCAGGCAGGATACTGGAGTGGGTAGTCATTCCCGTCTCCAGGGGATCTTACCGACTCAGGGATTGAACTCGGATCTCCAGTGCTGCAAGCGGATTCTTTACCATCTGAACCATCAGAGAAGCCAGATGGTGGGGTAAAAGGCAAATGGTTTTCTGATTACAGTAAATCATTCTTTTGAGACTCCTGAAGAAAACTCAGGACTGTAATCTAAGCAACTCAAGCTTGTGGGAACTAGCATCTTTGTGATTTGAGTATAAAACACAAGAAGAAGTTGACAGCAGGCTGGGGAGATCTGGAAATGTGAGTTATGCACAGAAAAACTGAGGACAGGAGAGATGACCAGGAAACTAAAAGAAGAAGAAAGCATGAAACCTACAGATGCCATTCAAAGAACCTCCTGCTCAAACCACTTCTATAAATTTTTAAAAATAGATAGAAGGCTTAATTAAACTGAGTTTCTTACCTCATCCAGAACTTCCAGAGTTGCTAAATCATCTACATCCTTGACACTGGAAATTAAAGGTTTGCTGAAGTTACTTTTCTTGGTGTAAAGACGTTCATGTCTAAGGAATGATGAAAAGGAAAGCCTTTCTGATTTGAGAACTTATTATTGATCACACTAAAGTCAAATTTAGATACTAAGAGACTGAAAAACCTTCATAAAGCTTATTTACTTAAATTTGACAATAACAACTTACCAGAAAACAGCCTCATGTATTTTATGTTTTCTCCTCTCCACTGGGAAAATGCAACACGTCAAACTTACTTCATGGATGATCAGAGGAGTTCATTATTTCCATCAAGAGCTATCCTAAATATTTTTATTTATTTATTGGCTGCATTGCACAGCATGTGGAATCTCAGTTCCCTGACCAGGGATCAAACCTGCCCCTCCTGCATTGGAAGCACAGTCTTAACTGCTTCCATTGGAAGCACTGTCTTAACTGCTGGACATCCAGGTAAGTCCCTATCTTACCTATAATATTCTTTAATGTCTTCTCTAAATTCCAATGCATTGCATTGGAATTCTTGATGCATTGCATCAAGAATACAAAAGTGTAAACATACATTTGGAGGCTTGAGTTGCAATGTTGAGCCCCATCAAACCGGCGGGTGTGAAAAGTCCTAGTGACCAGTCCTGCATCCTTCCCTATTGATTCACATGCCAATTCTGAGAAGTCTTTTAACAGTAAAGTCAGTTTAGGCACCAAAACTTATCTGACCTACCACCTTTCTCACCTCTTGCCCCAATGCACACACTATTCACAGAATTTGATTCGGTGATTCAGTTTTACCGGAAACTTTTACCTGAGAGTGGGGAGGCTGGCAGGCTGATATCTGATGGGGAAAGGGTGTAAAGGCATGCCTAAGATCTGGACTCAGGGATAGACCCTTCAGCTGAAACAGAGGGAGAGACAGTGGTCCAGGGTGAGGCAGGACTCCAGGCACCACAGGAAGCCAGTGGAATATTTTAATCAAAGGGCAGAGTATGGAAACAATAGGGTGGAGTAGCATGTTTTCATAAAGAAAAAAAAATCATTTAACTATATTTCAGAAATAAACATTATCACTAGGTTAAAAAAAGCTAAGAAAAGTTAAAATTCTAGTAGTGAATGCAATGTAGGGTCATCTATTCTAAGAACTTATTATATGATAAATGTGGCATTTCAAATTAGTAGAGAAAGAAAAAAATTCAAGAAATTATGCTGGAACAGCTGGTTAAAATTTTTGGAATCATGTATTTACTTTAAGCAAAAATTAATTCCAGATGGATTTAAACTTACAGATTTAAAACGTCATCATAAAAGTTCTAGGAGAAGATGCAGAAGAATAGTTGTGTAAAAATGCAGTAAGAATGGAATTTATAAGTATGAAAAGACAAAAAAAGAATTAAAAATGGAAGAGATTTGACAAGATAATTTTAAAGAGTACAATAAAAACACAAATTTAAAAATTGGGGAAAAGATTTGCAATATGTAGAATGGACAAAGAATTAATAAATCTAATATATCAAGAACTCTTAAAACTCAAAGAACAAACACTTAATATGAGATACCATGAGATATTAGAAGAATGACCTTGTACTGAACACACACATTTCAAGCTTATTTACTTTAATTTGGGAAGATAAATTTATCACTGTCATCACTTTCTAAAAAGATATTATCACCAAAAAGTGTTGGAAGTTAATAACCTTACCTAGTCCAGTAATATTAAAATAACTGAATAAGGGACTTCTTGGTGGCCCAGTGGTTAAGACTTGGCCTTTCAATGCAGGGGCTATGGGTTTGATCCATGGCTGGGGAGCTAAGGGGCTTCCCAGGTGGCCCAGTAGGTAAAGAGCCATGCAATGCAGGAGACATGGGTTTGATTCCTGGGTCAAGAAGATCCCCTGGAGGAGGGCATGGCAACCCACTCCAGGATTCTTGTCTGATGAATCCCATGGAGAGAGGAGCCTGGCAGGCTACAGTCCATAGGATCACAAACAGTTTGACACAACTAAAGTGACTGAGCATGCACACATGAGAAGCTAAGATCCCACATACCTGGTGACCAAAAAACCAAAACATAAAACGGAAGCAACACTGTAACAGATTCAATAAAGACTTTTAAGAAATGGTCCACAACAGAAAATGTTTTTAAAATTTAAAAACAACAATAGCTGAATCACATAATCTTTGTTGCCTTCCAGGCCTGGAATTCTCTGTCAAATGAAGTTGGTGAATTGATAGGCATACTACAGAGCATGTGGCCGACTGCTTCATTCTGAAGAGAAGATACAAAGCCATTTTCATGACTTTGAAAATCTAGGTTTTCACCATTTGTAAAGACTTCATTGGGGGAGTTAAAAGATGGTTTGGCCCTACTCTAGAGCATAACTCCTTTATTTATATTTTTTCCAGTGGAAGGGTGGAGGAGCCAAGGTACATGAGGCACGGTCAACCAGGTAGCAATGATAGCCAGAAAGCCAGGAAGGAACAGACTGACCTATAAACTGTTAACACTGAACTGAATTCCGAGGTGATTATACAAGCAAAAGTTATTTGTGAAGTTATATAAATCCTTTCCTTTGTTTACATCATAGTATTAATGACACCAATGTTACAGTTAAGAGGCTGGGCTCTAGAATCTGAATGCTCAGATCAAATAACAAAAGATTTTGTGAAGACAAATAAAATGGATTATGTTTTATGAAACTTTCATTTAGAATGGGCATATGGAAATGCTTTAGATATAATTGCTATTATTATTCCAACTCTGGCCCTACCACTTATTGTCCATGTGGCACTGGGCAAGGAACTTACTCTGCTTCTTCAGAAATAAAATGGAAATAATAATGACTTATTTCGTACAGATATTAAAAGATTAAATGATAGAATACATGTAAAGTGATTCATACAGTGATTCATACAGCAGATTCATACTGCTATGTTTAATAAATTTTAATTATTTTATTTTTTCATTTGTGGTCATAGTCTGAGCCCTCACTGTCCTTATGTTTATTTAATATTATATTTAATTTATTTTATATTTAATACTTACTTCTAAGTTATATTGAATTATAACTTTTAAGTTATATTTAATTTCTATTTCTACTTGTTTGGTATTTAGTTGTCTTCACTCTTTTTGTCCCAGAGGTGACCCTCTACCCTCTCCAAACATGAATTGTAAAAACACAATACTAAAATCAGCAGGAACTGAGTAGAGAGAAAACGTGGCCCCAGGCCTTGCTAATGGAGGATTCAGGAACATCATTGCTTCTGAAGGACTGCATCGCATTTACGATTAAATCCTCTGTCTATCCTGAGGGTAGTATCTCACAGGAATTTTGCATTATATCAGCAAACAACCCTTCCTTTGTTTCTCTCCCTGGGTCACTGTAGTGCTCAGACTTTTAACAGTAACAGGTGCTGGAGGAAGGTGGTGAAAAGGCCCATGTGTGTCTGCATAGTCCAGCATACTCCACCCCCAATCCCGACCCCACCCCGTCTCCCACTGCTTGGAGGTCTGGCACTGCTCGCCCTGAGGTCAGCTTAACTACAGAAGTCTCCTGGCCACTCCTGGCCACTAGGACTGCCTATTTCTATTTCTCCCATGTCTGTGTATCTGCACCACCAGGGACCGCTGGACACAGCCATCACTGTGGACTGCTCCAGAAAGCACGGTCAGCACCCTGTTATTTGGTTGCATCTTAAACATAAGAGAGACAACGGGGCCAAAAAAACCGGCAGCTTATAGCTGTGACAACAAAATAGCACAAGTGAAGGACTCACACTCTCTCAAGAGGCATGATTAGTTGAATCAACAATACTATCTTGATATTTTAAAAGTTACACAGTTGACCACGTCATAGGGTGTAAAAGTGAGAAAAGACACTAAATGATATTCAGTCCAATTCTCTTTCATTTTTTTAGTATTTCTTTTAAAATTGTTTTATTATTCTTATTTTTATTTTTTGGCCATATCTCACTGCATGTGGGATCCTAGCTCCCCTACTAGGATCAAACTCGCATCCCCTGTGTGGGAAGCACCTAGTTTTAACCACTGGACCACCTAGGAAATCCCCCCTTTAATTTTAAGAATTGTGAAAAGGGAGGTCAGCAAGGGATCAATATGAGATCTCCAAGCCTGCTCTGATTTGTCAGACCTTCCCCCACCCCAAACACACATATATACACACAAAATACAGTAGAGCCTTAAACTGTACATTTCAACATCTAGTGCTGCATTCATTCAACAAAATATTTAAATTTCTGGAGCATCTATTATGTTTCAGGCACTGTTCAGAGCTGGGATAAAGCTATGAAGACAGATTAAACTCTGTACTCATATGGAACACACATTTTAAACACCTAAAATAGTAGCTGGAGCATAGAAAGTACTCAATATATGTGGAGGATGAATAAATGAATGATATTATTTGTCAAAGGAAATTGTCTAATCTTCATCATTACCCTATCTTTCAAGATACTTCTACATTTTTTACCTTTTCATTTTGCCTTCATTTTACAGAATTAATTTGCATTCTTGTTACTTTATTAAAGATTTAATTTCTGTAAGACTTGGAGAAGGCAAAGTCAGCATCCTTCCAATAAGATTTTTGTCCTCTGGTGAAAAGAGCACTCCTCCAATAAGATTTTTGTCTTCTTGTGAAAAGTACAGCTTGTTAACCAGATTATATTTCTCATTTACTCTGTCTGACTGGGGAGACATAGCTTTAAACTACAAATATTTCCTTTCTATGTTGTCAAAAGGTCAGAAATACCGCTGGGGTAGTTAGTATAGCTTCACTTGTATTTCAGTTATACACTGAAAAAAAGAAAGAACTCTTGCTATTGCATGTTAAATTTTTACCCTTACTATTCAGTTGTACTATTGTAATGCCACAGCTTTATTTGCTTTTATTTTAGTTAAATATTCTCTTGTAAATATCAAGCTCTATCTTCTAAGGTGATTCAGGAGCCACTGGGATAGTACAGAAATCCTTTGTTAAACAGAAATCTAATCAATGCTTTTGTTTTCACATTTTTAGACATCTTTAAACTCCACTAACAAAGTCACA